AATGTTAATACAGTGAAAAAGGCAAATGATGTCTCAGTATTATCATGAAAATAGTTTTGATCTCATGGACACCTTTAAAGAGGTCTGCAGTTCCACATTTTAAGAATCACTGCTCAAGTAGTTTCCTATGTTTCTAATTTTAGTTGACTAGCTGCCATAGATATTTAAGGTTTTAAAAAGATCTCTTAATTAAAAGGGAAATTTTATAAGGGCAGAGGCTTGTGTCTTTGCCACTCTTACTACCACCTGGCACTTAATAATGGCAAACATTTATTGGGTGTGTAATATATGCCAGGCACTATTCTAATTGCTTTATGAGATAACTCATTCAAACATCAGAAAAACCTGTGATGTGATAGGTGCTATTATTACATTATCCACTTAGTTGCAGAAACTGAAACACATAAAGACTAAGTAACTCACCCAAGATTACATTATCAAAATCAGGATTTGAACTCATACATTTCGTTCTTGAACTCGTTTACTTGACACTATGCTATATTTCTTCTCAAAATTTTGATCTATGGGTAAATTCACTTCAAATTGAAATTTGCTTCAAGAAAATCAAAGTTTCCCTGTTAACATTTAACAATTATGGTTATGAAGAGGTTGTGCGCAAAAACACAAATAGAAAAGAGAATATAGAAGTTGCCGCTAGTGCAGTTATTGCCTCCATCCTTTATCAAGAGTAAATACATCGTCTAGTGATTTTCTCTAACGATCAAGATTATCTAGTCCCACTGGTTAATGATATTTATCTTCCATTTTTCTTTCTTTTTTTCCTCCAGCCCTCGGTAGCTTAAAGTATTATATATCATCTCAAGTTCTCACCCACAAGTCCTTGACTACTGAGGAGCTGAAATAGCTATAAGTTTGGGGGTACAGGTTATGTAATGAACTGTATTCATAAAGTTCTATTTCAGTACCTAATGCCTGTTATCAGAAAAGAGATAGTGTCATTAATAACTTATTTTGTTAAAGGTGCAATGAACTAGCTTATTGATTGGATGTTTGTGGTTCAGTAATCTCTTGAAATAAAACCAAAGTTTGTTGTCCATCCGCACATAAGAGGAGTAGCTTTTGCCTTCACAACAACTTATTTTCTTTTATTCATTCACTGATTTAACAAATACCTACTGAATGCCTACCAGGGCATTGTGCTGTGAAGGAAGGGTACTCTGTTACCTGGTAGATAGAGGGGCCTTAGGTGGAAAAGGTCTACAAAGGTCTGTAAATGCTTACAAGAGCAGGTGAAGTTTAATTTCAGACCTTATTGATGAATAGGGTAAAATCAAGGACATGGGGATTGGTGAAGAGTTAGAACTTTCAGGACACCATGTTCTAGGGCCGGCCTTTGGCTCACTTGGGAGAGTGTGGTGTTGATAACACCAAGGCCATGGGTTTGGATCCCTATATAGGGATGGCTAGTTGGCTCACTTGGGAGAGTGTGGTGTTGATAACACCAAGGCCATGGGTTTGGATCCCTATATAGGGATGGCTAGTTGGCTCACTTGGGAGAGTGTGGTGTTGATAACACCAAGGCCATGGGTTTGGATCCCTATATAGGGATGGCTAGTTGGCTCACTTGGGAGAGTGTGGTGCTGACAACACCAAGTCAAGGGTTAAGACCCCCTTACCAGTCCTCTTTCAAAAAAAGAAAAAAAGGACACTATGTTCTGAGGCTGCTTACAGAACTGAAAAAAGGCTGGTGGTGGAAAATAGAAAAAGATGAAGTTGGAAAGGCAGGAAAGTCTTTGGAGGCCACGTTAACAATTTTGAATTTTAAGGGCAACGAAAATGACATTAGACTTGATCATTATCATTTAGGGTTTACAGATAAAGCATAAGTTGAGATAGGAGAATAAGATTAGTAATGGGGCTAATGAGTTACTTTATGAAAATATTTTCATTCAGCAACATTTATTAGTATACGTAGCTTAATCAGATTTCAGAGATATAAAGATAAGCAATATGTCATTAATTCATAGTATAGATAAGGAGTCAAGTTGTAAAGAAATGAAAACCAATGTGAATTGAAAATATAATAAATATGTAGACCTTGCCAGCATCTGCCCGGGGCCAGCAGTTCTCCACTCACCAAGCATCCAGAGAGACGTGCCTCACACAGACATAGAGTACATAGGCAGAGCGATGGTGGCCAGGCTTGGGCTGGGGCTCCTGCTTCTGGCACTGCTTCTACCCACTCAGATTTATTCAAATCAAACAACTGTCAAGTAACTCCTCGCAGAGTACCTTGGCTGCCCCAAATCCAGCTAATGCTACCACCAAGATGGCTGGTGGTGCCCTGCAGATCAGAGTCAGTCTCCTCATCATCTCACTCTCTCTCCTATGTCTCTACTGTTTTTTTTTTTTTTTTTTTTTTTTTTTTTTTTTT